CCGGGGACCGCCCCGCCCCCCAGCCGAGTGCGGACTCCGGCGTGTTGCCACGGCGACCAGGACCCGCTCCCCTCTGCTGGGCTAATGGAATCGTTCCCAAACTGCCTGCCTCCAAGATCGCCCGTGGGCACCGCGGGCTGAACCATTGCCGGCGGGGGCCGGTAACGGGAGGCCTCTGAGGTTGGGCATGTTGGGCGCACCCCGACCTCCGCGGGGTCCCGCGCCCAGGTTCCTCTTCCGAGGCGCAGAGCCGGGCCCGACCCAGGGCGGGGTGCAAGGTCCCGTAGGAACCGAGTGACGGAGGCTGGGCCGGGCTCCTTCCCCCAGGGCTGTTGCCACACTTCCTGCCGCGGAGCTCTTCCCCGGCCTGTTTCTAAGGAAGGAGTGGGGTAGGGCGACCGCGCCCCGGCCTCCGGGCTGGGTCCAGGCACAAGGAGCTGACGCGGGGTCGGTCCAGCCCAAGGTTCCCGGGGATGGACTTCGGGTGGGGACAGAGCACGCAGGCGCCCGGGGGTCACCCACACGACGGGCGTCCATCAGGGAAGGACCAGTGGTCCGACTCCTCGGGTCCTCAATGGCCTTCCTTCCCTCCTGTCCCAGTGGGACCTCTGTCATTGTCATCTCAGCTCGGAGGATGGCCCGACCCTCCTCATGCTCCTTCATCATGGCATCGCCAACGACCCCAGGGACCCTGACCTGTGACCGTGTCTCCCTGTTCCCCACATGTCCCCTCAGTGGACCCCAGGACCCTCATTCACTGCCTACAGATCTAGAGCCTCCTTCCCAGTTACGGGAGTCCTCAGCCCCTCCCATGGACTCCATCTCCCCCTCCCCACACACATCCCTTTTCCGGGGTCCAGCGCCTCCCCTGAACATGCCAGTCCCTTAGTCCCTCAGTCCCTGGACCCCCCTTCATTCCTGAGCCAGGAGTCTCCTCTCCTTACCCCTCTCCCCTTTTCCCTGCTTAACCCTTCCTTCTCTCTTCTATGGGGTCTCCAGAGTATTCACAGCCCTCCACCCCCTCTCGGATACTACCGGCCCCTCAGACCTTCTGTGCACCAACTGGGGGACCCCCCCCCCAACACACACACACACACACACACTTGCTCTGTATCAGTTCCTCGTGTCCCTCATCGCGTACTCCAGGGGTATCATCGCCCTCCCTGGAGCCCCTCCCCGCGGGCCTCGGACCCTCCCAGCACCCCCTTCCTCGGGCGCCCAGGGGTCCCCCTGAACCCCTCCCCCTGCAGCCTCGCCAAACCACCCAGCCCGTGGCCGCTGTTTACAAGGACACGCGCTTCCTGACAGTGACGCGAGCCGCCTCCTCCCCTTCCCCACGCTCCCGGAGGGGGGCGCGGGCCCGGCTCGCGCGGCGGCCAATCAGCGCGCGCTTCCGCAGCTGACACTCGCCGTATAAAGGCGCGTGGCTCGGGCGGAGCGGCCTGGACCTTGAGCGCGGCAGGCCAGCGTCGGAGCCGGCGGACAGGGGGAAGCCGGGGAAGCGACACC